CGGGCGGCAACTTCAAGTGGTACGCGATATTCAAACGCATTTGAAAAATCTTAAACATTTGCGTGGATAAGACAAAGTCTGTCGCGAGAATTCGCATTACTCAAAAAATTCTCGAACATCGTAATCGTATTCACGACGATAAATTACATCTGTTTATAATAATTTTATAATATAAAATATTCCTTTAATTGATTAGTTATTTTAACATTTAATCTAAATATTTGACAATGTATTGCGCTACTAAAGATTTAATATTGTTATAACAATTGACGATAATTAGATATAGTTTAAAGACTGATATTTTCTCTGCGTATTTTTATTTTTCTCCTTCTTCTCTTTTTTTTTTCTCCTTAAATTTTACGACCGAATAATACTTTTTTAAGACCGATGCGCGGTTTGAGAAGCGTAAGAAATATAATATAAAATAAAATCTAGAAATATAAACACAATTCGCAAAAAACCTAGATATAAAACCACAGAAGCTAAAAAATGTTGACCTATTCCGTGTCATGTATCAACCATTATTTATTTATAACAGCTTCTTCTCTCTTATTAAAATAATTATTTGGGGCAAGTGTAATAATTAAATCCAATTATTTTTTCCGCAAGTTTTGCAATTCACTGTAATAATTTTTTCATTGTCCCTTTTGCATTTAAGTTCGGTTAACTTATTACGTTTCATCAGGGTACGATATATTATAAATATGTATTTAGTATGCCGGAGATGAAGCAACTGACGTCGCCGCGATATCGCAATCCATTGACAATCGGTCGCGTCAGCGCATTTCCATCGTCATAAAGTCGGCCTCTTTTAACCGACTTAAAAATTTGTCCACGACCGCGGCTATCTTTATTAATTCCATCTCGTCAATAATAAAAGAGTTCATGATATCTAGGCTCGGGAATATCGGGGAAGAACAGAAATTAAGGGGCGCACTGAAAATGCTCATATATTTCTATATATGTATATATACAAATATTTTTATTTTACAAAATCTTATATGAAACTTATAACAAAAGATATTTCGCAACAACAACGACCATGTGATACTTTCAAGACGCTCGTATACCGCTATACACATATCCTTCAGATCCCTTCACGTGCCTATATACCGATTGTTTCCCATTCAAACTCAAACTTAATTAAATTATCATCTTATTGTCTAGATTCTAGAAACAAAAAAATTGAAAAAATTTTTAAAAATATGAAAAACCATTATTTTATCCCTTTCACCGTGGTTGTCGAATAAATAAACGGGCGAACACGATCGTTTAATTAATTCGCGATATTTATCTTTCCTTCATTCTTATGCAAAGATTGTAACCGATTGAAATACATTATTTGGAGCGTGTTCAATGTCTGGCCCATTAGCTCAGTTGGTTAGAGCGTCGTGCTAATAACGCGAAGGTCGCGGGTTCGATCCCCTCATGGGCCAACTTTTTTTTTTGCTTCTGATTTCTTTCTACGACCTTAATGATCTCTGTGATTTTGACGTGACTTCGCTAATAAAAAAAAAAGAGAGAATAGAATGCGAACGTTTCCTAATAAAGAATAATGACGCTCTTTTTGATTTAATGATGTCAAGGAACGTGAAAGAACCGAGTATAACTGGTTTACTACGACTTTTCTGACAGAATCAAACGTTCGATCTCATTTATCTTAATTATATAAGCTTCGCCCATTAATCATCGATAAAAACTCCGCCAGACGCGTACGTTCCTCGGATAAACCGACATCGAGCGGCGCATCGAAATCCAAGTCTTCCCAGTTAAAACGTCCGTTAACGACTCGCATTCGTTCGCAACGAGTTACTTAAATAGCATAGTTGCATCTCGATCTGTTCATTATGCATCGCCATATACCAGCGCGCATTGCCATACGCATGGGCGCGCATGCGATCGCGCGCCACGCATGTAACGTGGCATCTACGTCGCAACTGTCAACAAAATAAACGCTTTCTCTCAGCTGTCTGAGAGCCCTTTGGTTCGCTCACACACACACGCGCATGTCTCTATAAAATATCTAACAGTAAAAACAAAATACAATTATCAAGCATAAATTATCAAGTATAATGTATATGTGTTTTTATTTTATTTTTTCTTTTTCAATCTTCTCGCGAAACAATGCGTGTTGTTTTGTCGCGTCTTTCTCTGTGCTCGTCGCGACGATTGTGGCACGCACGACGAAATGCTGATTCGTGAAATGAGCAGAACGAACAGGTGTGCGAGCATGGGCTTAATCGGATTGCGCAAAGCCGCGTAAGTTCGCGCATCGACTTTGACTCACTTTCGCCATCGCGATAACAATCTTTCTGACTGTCGCGGTAAAACAATTGTTTTTACTCGCTATATTCTGTTGAAATCGAAAGTAATGCAAAGTCAGGGAGAATTCAATGCCTGTGCGGACGATCGGGGGGGAAATTAAGCTTAAAATTCAGCTTAGATGAGCAAAAGAACGATTTATTTCGTTTACGAGATTTAAATGCCCTCGTTATAACATTTATACTCACGAGATTTAAATGCTTTCGTAAGAACACTTTTATTAACTTTTACTAAATAATTAAAGATTGCATTTCTTCATGTGCACGCGAGTTTCCATAATTTCAGAACGTTGTTACTTTCAAATACTAATTAGTCGCCACTACGATAGGAAGTAACGAACTATCGATCCCACGATAATTTTATTTAAAATCTCTTACCCATGTACTACAAGACATAATTGTTAACTCGTTCGGATAATGTAGAATAATGAACTAGATTCATGGTGCATGACTTGAGTCAAAATATTATCCACGAACCGGAACGATACCTGTATTATGCTGATTTTTTTATTTGTATATATATATAACACATTTGTTGAATTTGAAGCATTCTATAATACATAAAATTCCATATCGTTGCGTCTGGATATTGAAAATTTAATTAACTGGCGCATTTTGTACGAAACAAGCGCCGGCCGAATTTAACTCTTCTTTCAGATGACATCTATAAAACCTACTTTGAACGCACAACAACGTGTATGATTCTTACGCGTAATTTATCTGCGCGAAGATCGTCGGAATCAGAAAATACGATCGAATTGCTGCTGTTCTACTCTACCCCTATCACATTTCGTGCCGCTCATACATTGTGTTTCCGTTTCGCAATAGCCTATTGTGTACATAGAGTTACGACATGGCTCTCCGCTGATTCTTCCATACCTCTTTGACGAAAGTTTCACGCTTCTCTAAAGAGTCCAGTCGCGCTTCTTCCTTAAAAAAGCACAAAATATCGCCCTCCACCGTTCAGTCCCGCAATCTTCAAGACGCATTCATCTTGGATTTCGGGCTTTATCAGCTTCTACTATTCCCGTCACACTTTCGGGTAAAGAAAATCGAAGATCGTAGATATAGCTGTCCAGGAGAACCTCATGGCGATGTAGGCCAGTATGAGTTTCAGCGCTTGGTGGCTCCAGTATAATCTACAATACGAGTTGTTTTCTATTTTATTGTTTTCCTAACTAAATAATGATATCAGATATACGTGTAATAGTTTTAACGCAAAAATCCAATATATATATGGGAGGCTATAAAATATAACATTACTATTTTCCCTTTTTATTCTATAAAAAGAGATGAAAAAAAATGAGAGAATAAAGTTTAAAAATTGTGCTGGTCCGAGCTCTATTTTTCTTCTACAAATTGAAAGTACAGAAGCAGAAACGTAGAAATACTGAGGATATTTTCCGAGGATTATTGAAAGTTTCCATACCTTTGCCATTTGACGCGTGCCTGCGGCAAGGTGTCTAAGGGATCCTTAATCAGGTACACCCTTATTCCGCGAATGTACGTCTCGAAATAAGTGTTCCAATCGACATCTCGTATATCGAAGTAGAATTTTTCACGATCTTTAAACGTGAGCTTTCCCATCAGCGCGCGTAGCCGGTCATTGGTAAATTTCCATTCTTGCGTGGAAAAGTAGTTCAACACATCCATAAATTTGTGTATCTTCTTGTAAACCTTAAGTAACCTTTAATACACAATTTATATTAAATAGTGTTCCGTATAAGTAATAAATAAAAAAAACGCAAAGCAATTCGCTCTCTTACATCATCTTGAATTACTCAAAATTATTTTAAGTTGTTTAACTATGTATTATTTATTTTAACTACTTTTTAAAATATTTTAGATGCTTAAAATATAGTAGACATTATATATTAATAAATAGAATTTGTTCTTTAATAGTGTTATTTGCACGGTTTTTCTCTTAAAGAAAAATTATTTTTTGGATACATACATGGAAAATTTATTGTTCTCTCTCTCTCTCTTTCTCTCTTTATGATTTTTATATTAATTCTTTTATTATTACCTCGGTTGTCTTCCTATGCAGACAGTTGCGGTGTCGACCAGTAAAGCTGGAAGCAGGTGCCAGAAATATACGAAAAAGAGATGGACTATCCTGTGCTTATTGTTTCTGAAGCTATAGTACCAAACCGCCCTGGTGGAGGGAATCTCGAGACCATATTTCGATGACATTTCCTTCAGATCATCATACGTTATCGGATTATCCGTAGACACGTAATTATAAATCGGAATTTCGCTACGCGATTTGTTGTTCGATCTGGAATGATGATTCAACGTTATATGATGATACATTTGTGTCCACACTGTCGAGGAATCTTTTAATTAGCTACCATAATAAACACACTTATACAAAATGCAAATATATTTCATATTTTTCAAGTTTTTTTGTAGCGTTATACAAAATTATTAAAATTAAAAAATTAATTTCACGGGACAGAATTCTGCGAAATATAACGCAAATAAAAAGTTATTTTGCGGCTTTAAATAGGTGAATTTCCGGATAAACTTTTTTCGTGTTGGTAATGTCAAGTGTCAATAGTGCCAATAAAAAAAAAACGCGATTAAATTGTATTAATATTCAAATGTGTGTATTATTATTTTGTTATATGCGATGTCAAACTGCGATGCAGGAAGTAGATAAAAGGTGAAAAGGTAAGCACCTTTGATCGTTCGCTACATCCCATGCACATGCGATTAGAGCGTTAACTGTTAAATCGGCAGGTACGACGTTTGCATGTACTGAGCCGTCACAGTGGATCGATCGCAGCAATCCAGTTCCAGCACCGGCTGCAACTCCCGTTGGGCCGTATAGATTGTCGATCCAACCCCGCGTTGGTTCCTGATATGTTGAGATCACTGGAGACAAAATTACAAATTATTTGAACAATATTTTGCAGTTTTTTAATTAAATTTATTCATGCTAGTTACGCATACGTTATTATTATTACGTTACAGTTAATTAGTTTAATTGTAAATAATTATTGTGGATACTTATGTATAATTATAAATCATACTATTATAATTATCTCTATTATTATTAATAATTTAATCTTTAAAATCGTTTTCTTTCCGTAAAAATTTGTTAGAATTTCTTAAAAGCTCTTATTTTTTTTGTATCTTGATTAATATATTGCTTAATAAAATATTATATTATTAATAATGTAATATCTTGTCTAATTTTTAATATTATTAAGAACAAAAGTGATAAGTTATTCGAACCAATGGCAGGACGAAAAATGCCAATCGGCAAGTCGCCAGCCTTCCTGATCACGTTCTCGGCAACTGCTTTCGTGAAGGTATATGTATTTGGCCATTTTCCTAATAATCTGTAAAGAGTAGACAATAAAATTTTCTTTTTGTTCTATCTACCGTGCACTAAAGGGAATTAAATCGAAATAGGATTTCACGTACTGCGGAGTTATATCTTCAGCGAGCTTATCTTCCAAGCATTCTATTAACGCAATTAATTTGTCAGAGTCCATTGGCGGGTCATAAAACTTCTCCTCGATCACACTTTGCGGACAATTTGCATACGCAGTAGACACGTGAATAAAACACTGTAAAAATTGCACAAAATGGTGTCGTTTAAGTTAAACATAAACGTATATGAGCAATCATACGTGTGATGTATCAAAAAATGACCAATAACAATTCCCGACTTTGTTATTTGAATTAGAATCGAGTAGGAGTATTGCAACTTCAAAGAACATTCATCAAGTTGGACGAGTAATAAAGTGCAAAATATTTTCATAGCTTTTCTTTTCGTGAACATTTGAACCTTATGGCCTACCTTCAAGTTGGTGATCTCCTTGCAGAGATTTACAACGTCCCTTGTACTTCTGACGTTAATGGGCACTGCCAACTTCAACTTCTCGTCGAATCTGACCGTAGCTGCGACGTGGAAAACGATCGAAACTTCTCGAATAAGAGTGGCCCGATCTTGCGAGGATATTCCGAGATTCGGTTGACTGCAGTCTCCCGCTATGGCGACAATCTGATGCCGGAACTTGGGCTGTTCGTGTCTAAGCTTTGCAAATACCTGAGGCAGTGGTTATGGATTAATAAATAGTTAATCCATAATTGATTAAATTAAGAAAGGCTAAACTCTATGCTATCTCGTTAATATCAATTCAACCTGATAATAAAACTAATGTCAAAAAAATATTTTGTTAAAAATAAGTAGAAGAACGAAAGTCGACAGAGAGATAATTATCCAAACAAAAAATTTGTTACCGAAAGAAATGATCTTCTAGAAGGTAAATGAAGCGCTGACGCCAAAGTATTTGGTGTTCATTGATGACGCACGTATTATACGTGGAAATTCATGTGGCATACGTGAAGCGGACAATGGCAGATGTTTAATTCGTTTCTTCTAATTATTATATTTTAATATTATCGAATAAGAATCATAGAAATTACTTATTAATCCGCTCATCAGGGCAAGATTTAGACAATTCAAAATGTAACTATTAACATAAATTTGCCAAATATTTCAAGGGTCGTCAAAGATTCCACTTTCTGTCACTGGAAACTCACCGGGTCGTCAAAGATCTCTTCGGTGCGTTGGTGCACGTCCTTGCCCTTTTTCGGACGTACCAGAAGGTAGATCGACGTTACTCCGGGGCACGTTCTCAGGAGCTTCTCGATAAGCAATTTGCCCATGAAACCGGTGCCGCCGGTGATAAAAATACTCTGGCCATAATAAAACTCCTGGATCGGCGACAGCTTCTCGTTGGGCGAATTTTCCGTCGGCGATTCTGGTATGCAGTCCGACTCGACGATCGTCACCTCCTGGCCATCGACACGGTCCAAGAGCACCTCCACCATCTCTCCTGTGGGTTTGTACCTGCGCAAGGAACGAGCCACGGTCTCTTTCTATCGGCGACGATTCACCTTATATCCAATTCGTATTCGCGGTTTGACGCGTTACGGAGCCGTCGCGTCGAATTTAAAAGATGACTCTTCCTTTTTCGTGAGCGGTCTCGATCGATTAGCCGATTTGCGTCGAGTCGCGTCGCGTCTCGCCTCGCTCATTATCACCTGGTACGTGGACGAGGCGAATTTGCGAAAGTCAACATTGTCCGTGTGACAGATGGATACGTGATGGACCGAGATCGCGATTGCGATTTCTTTACCGCAAAACCACGTATTCTCGGATACGTTGAAAGATTTTCATGATTTTTACCTTTCCTAATCAAAGTACTCGTCTCAAAAATGAAACATTTGTTCGGGCGCGATAAACGCAAAAGATGGGTATCGTGATTCATTTTTAAACAGATCGTGCGTTTCAAAAATAAATTAAAAGGATAACATTTATATTTTTCTTTCTCGAAACGTTTGTTTTGAATTGCAAAATTGCAAATCAAAATAATAAGCTGCGTGTTTATCAATAACACCTAAAAAGTGTTTTCATATTTATGTGGAAAAACAAAATTAATATTCTTC